CAGGCATCAGTTTAAAACTCAAGAGAGCCCTGAGTGTTGATGTAAATATGTTTAGTAGCCCTACTAAGATTTATAATCAGTGTATTTTCAGTTCTGAAGAACTGAAACATGTTGCTTTTTTGCTCACATTCTAAATTGATAGGTATCTACTACTATACTGGGTAGAACGTCTGAGCATGCTGTCATTTTAATGGAATAGCTATACATATTGGGAAATACAGTTATTTGCCTTTTGGTTGATTGACTGACTCTGGCTTTTGTACAGTAAATATGAAGCTACTGCAGGAGTAGCTCATCTTAGCACCAAGGCTGGCAGCAGGTGGAAACAGCTAGCTTCTCTCCGTCCAAAGGTTTTGTCAGCATGAGTACATCATGAGTCATTCAGTTTTAAGCTGTAGATACCTCAGTCAGTCACTGACCACCTCTCAGAGCTGACATCACTTCCCAAAGCTTATAACATGAGCAGCTGCTGGTAAAGTAAAAAGTATCAGTTGTAGCACAGTTTTAATTGATTTTCAGAATTGTGTATTTTTACATGTATAATTAAATTTTATCAAATTTCGTATCATGCAGGCTTCATGACAGTTGTATTTATTTCTCCAATTGTGTTGTTGTGGAGTACTTGGCATGATTCACCTCAGTGGATGTGCAGCAGCCCTGTCCCCGGCCAGGTGTAAATAAGCAGTGTAGCCAAAGTTAGTCCAAAAACAGCATGTGTGTCTCATTTTTACACAAAATAAACAATTTGGTTCCTAATAATGTATGTTTTATTATGTCATAGAACTAGGGGTTCAGTTAACTTTTTACATGCATTTCAAATGTGCCACCCCTTTCAGAGCCTCTGGCCCAGCCTGGCCACCCCATCCAAAATATTTTAGATTCGCCCCTGGTGTTCATACATGGATTCTGGAAAACCCCGCCCTTTGTGTCTATTACCCAATAGGTTTGGGCTTCTGACTACTTGTTGTCCAGTAATGATTGCGCACCTGTTCATGATTAAATGCTTTTGTTCTGTTTGGTTCTGATGAAAACATAATAGCATCGACACTTAGTCTAATTTGTTGGCACCATTAAAAGCAGCAGATCAGTCAGTGTGCTGCTCCAGTCGTGTATCTTCAGATGTTTGCTGTCCTGGATCTGAGAAGCACCTGACTCAGCCTCATATTGTTGGAAGAAGTGGCATTAACACCTTTGGGTTTCATTACTGTGCCCTTGTTCCTATCACATAATAGCTAAACACACTTTCTAGAATAAAAAACAAAACATTTTTGAATGTCCTGAGATTACTCTGGTTACAGTGTGGAGATAACATGTTCTATCAGTTAAACTGTTTAACAGTTTCTTGTTCATGGTCCTCACAGGGGAAGCCGTACATATTTGACCGAGTGTTTCCAACCAACACCACCCAGGAGCAGGTGTACAACACCTGCGCCAAGCAAATTGTCAAAGGTATGGACAATATGCTGAGTTCAGCATACACAACATTTTTAAAAATGCTTGCGCTTTGGTCTCATTTGCTGTTGATTTTTCCTGATAGATGTACTGTGTGGATACAATGGCACTATCTTCGCATATGGACAAACCTCCTCCGGGAAGACTCACACCATGGAGGTACAGTTTTTTAGTTTTGAGTGCTTGTAATCATTTTTATTGAACAATGAATTAAAATTTACATTGTGTTTTGTTCCACAACTGACACTACTAGGAATATTTTTCCACTGGAAGGTGACACATAAGTGCTACTTCCAGTACTGGGTTTGGGGGTTTTTGGAACACTGCTTACTTTTATTTAGTTGAATCTTTGTGGTTAGAAAAGATTTTTTTTCTCCCAAGCATTTTACCCTCCTTAGTTTTGATTTATCAGACATTTAATGAGAATTTAAAGGCCTTATTGCAGGAAGTTGTAATTAACCTCTGACCCTGCATAGCTGTCAGCATCACACCTGGTTTTACCTTTATCTGTGACTTTGTGCCGCAGGGCAAGTTGCACGACCCTCACCAGATGGGGATCATTCCTCGCATCGCTGAGGACATTTTCAACCACATCTTTGCCATGGATGAAAACCTTGAATTCCACATCAAGGTCAAGATGAGTTAGATGTCTTATCTTGTGTTCTTTCTTATGTTAAACTGTGTTGGTTTGTGTTAAGACATTGTCACGCCATTCTCTTGTCATATTTTTTCCCCTCATATTCATGTGTACTGTGGGTCTGCAAATAAAACCTGGTGTGCATTTTTTATTAAAGCAAATTTTACATAGGATGATAAATTTCAGCCCGAGCTGTATCTGGTTTCATAATTTTCCTTTTTCCCCCAATAGGTTTCCTACTTTGAAATCTACATGGACAAAATCCGTGACCTGCTGGATGGTTAGTGCAGATGGATGATTCATGAATTAGTAACAAAGTATTTAAATTTTTTAGACTGAAATATACAGTGTATTTAATGTAGCATCAGCGTAACACCTATTTTTATGGCTTCATTCTGAAATACATTTTAATTTTTTTCTATTTTTAGTGACAAAGACCAATCTGTCTGTCCATGAAGATAAGAATAGGGTGCCTTATGTCAAGGTTTGTGAAAGTAGCACTTTAAATGTTTGTCTTTTCAGGTGAAAACCTGTTTGTGGTCTATATCAGACCCACAATATTAAATCTGCTGCATATTCGTTTTCTCTCTCCTCTCCTCAGGGATGCACTGAGCGTTTTGTTTCCAGCCCCGATGAGGTTATGGATGTGATTGATGAGGGCAAAGCTAACCGCCATGTTGCTGTGACCAGTGAGTCTTCATCTTTGACTACACTACACATTGTTTCAGTACATGAATATTACATATCATGTCAGAAATCAAAACAAACAACCCAAAAGACAAATATTTATGTGTCTTGTTGCAGTGTGCTATAATTTTTAAGTTTCGTTCATTCTCACAATAAGAAATAAGATCCTGTCAAATGAAGTTGACTGAATTGTAAATGGGTGTGTTGGAAAGTTATTGTGGATGTGGAGGAAGTAGCAAAGCATGACACTGTCTATAATAAGCCACTTTCTGACAGTATAGTCTTCAGTAAAGTGACAAGTGTGTTTAGCATTAAAGCTCTCCGATCTGTAATTCCTGTGCTATGTGTGGACCTCCATGCTGCTGACTCACTCCGGTGGTGCAGTAATAATAGCTGACTAATGGCTCCAGTACTGTGGGTTTACAGGTCAGAGTGATGCTTCCTTGTCCAACACAGCAAAAAAATAGCACACAGTAACAGTATAGTAATTACTAGTAAATCCAGTGATTAAAATTCATAAAAATGTGTGTAGTGTAAATGTTCATCTTTGAATGTCTGTCTCAGGAGAATTGCTCCAATTTGGTATCATGTCATAATCTTGTGGTAGTTATAGTGGAACAAAAGAGAATAATGATCATACCCTGCTCACACATTTGTTTCATGTTGTTTCAAGGCAAATAAGATTTTTCAGCTACATAGGTTTAATTTATTACTGTACAAACAGATCTTGTACTGCAGTGGAGGTACTGTATTTCACATAGCAAAAATGGAATAAGGAAACTAGTCTGGGTGCAGTATATTTATTTATTATTTTTGCTGTGGAGTTTAGAGCTGACTCACAGTGACTGTAGAGTCTATAGTGTAGACGCTAGTAAAAAGAGTGAGGCCAGATGAGCTTTGGGATTCAGTGCTCAGCAAAGGCACCAAGACTGCATTCTTCAGACTTAATGCATATTTGGGCCTCAGTGCTAACTGTGTTTGCTCGTACTCAAAACAGTCTTTCTGTGACATTTTTTGGAAATTGGTCTTTTCTGCAAAGTGATTGTCTTCGCCTTTCCTATATTGTTGATCACTGCAAATCAACTGTGTTGCATGTTTAAAACACAAACTAGCATCACGGTAGATTTCTCATTATTATTAACTACACATGACTAAATTCGGCTAGAATCAGTTAGCCTTTATCTGATAATTTTCGTTTATTATAATATATCAGTAGGACATTTGGTAAATTAAGTTCTAAGATGCATCTCTAGATATTTAATGTCTTCTAAATTAACATTTCTGCTTGTCGCTGCAAGTCCTAATCACCATAAATGGCATCATTGAAGTCTACTGTAGCTTCCTAACAACCATAATCTGATGATCTCAGCGTGCGGGTAATGGCCCAGTGAGAGGAATCCCAGCTTGGCGTGATACTCACATTCAAGATAAAGTAATTTCAGTAACTGTCTATGATGCAACAAGAAATGAAAAATGAGTAAAAATTGAAAACATCTCCACCTCATAAAATTAACAGGTCTACCATTGATATTCTTTTCTGTTTAAACTGTGTTTAGTTAGGAGGAGTTGACAACTACAAAAATAGAAAATCCATTCCTCCATCCATTATCTACACCACTTTTCAGGCTATAAATGAAACTGAACAGTTTATAAGTGATTACAGATGTTTTTGTTCACCAGTTTAAATAAATCATCAGCACTTACTCAGCTACAGAGTGTTTCTAAATGTGAGAATTCTGCATCAGACTACTGTAAAGGAAAATGGCTGTTATAAACCATCTACCCACAGCTGATAGCATACAGGCCAATAAAATATTCAGACCCAGCTCACTCTCTAGAGCAAGATGCAGATCCCCTGTGTGCATGCTACATCATTATAAATATATTTTTTCCTTGTGTGTTATGACTTTAAGTAAAACGTGTCATTGTTATGATTGTGTGGGCTTGTGTTTGTGGATTTTATTAGATACCAAGACAGACTTTTCTACAGGGACAAATCAATTAGTTATATCTCTTTAAAAAAAAAAAGAAATTTAGAAATCACCCCAAAATAAAAGATGGTCTGCTCTGTAAAGCAGAAATAATATATATCAGCTTTTCAGTGCTGATAATGTGATAACATTTAAATTCTACAACAATCCAGCCTCAAAAATGAATGGACTATACGCAGCAGTGGATAAGGCTGGCTTAAAAATGAGTTCTCCAGCAGCATAGTCTTTGCTGTTTGCTGCTGACTCATGGTGCTGTAGGAAGGTGTACTGACAGCGGACTAATGGGGCAACAGTCTGCAGACACTGTGCTGATGTCTTCAGATATCATCTGCCAATGAGACGGTCCACTGGGGAGAGGCATTTAGATCAGTCACTATATGAAATGGTGCCATCTGTTTGCTGCAGCAGTGGGTTTTTTCTGACTGTGAGAAAATATGTGTGTATATGTTACTACCTTCAGCACATTAAGGTGAGATGATCTTAAGAACTGACAGTATTTATGATGGCAGTCGTGTTTAAATGGTTATTTATTTTTTGACTGCAAATTACCATTATAATTTCTCTTCATTTTAATTTGCCCGTCAAATATAATGTGTCGCTCCTGGTACACAGGCAACCTTTCGAAGGAAATATAGATTTTTAAAATTTAGATAACAGTTTTTTCATCCATGTTGTTGGTCTTTAAGCACGACATGTGATTAGGTCTTATTTGTGAAATTTTCATTCCAATGAAGAATAATTGTTTCCATAGCTGTTATGTTACAAGTTTAGGATGATATTTGTGTCTGGTTGTTGTGTTGCCCCTGTCTTTGTACAGACATGAATGAGCACAGCTCTCGTAGCCATAGCATCTTCCTGATCAACATCAAGCAAGAGCACGTGGAGACTGGGCAGAAGCTGTGTGGAAAACTCTACCTGGTGGACCTGGCTGGTAGTGAGAAGGTAGGAGGCATTCGGGTGGGGTTGCTTATAAATCAGCTTCTAACTTGCAGTTTACCTGCTTCAAATGAATAACTTAAACATGTTTGTTTTATTGAATTTTATTTAGTATGAGCTTTATCCTTCTGTCTGTGTTTTTCTTCAGGTGTTTAACTTCACTCTTTATTCCAGGTCAGTAAGACTGGAGCTGCAGGAGCTGTTCTGGATGAGGCTAAAAACATCAACAAATCTCTTTCCGCTCTGGGAAATGTCATCTCTGCCTTGGCTGAGGGCACGGTGAGTCATTTTCACCCTACTTCCCTCAGTATTTATAGGCAGCAGAGTCACATTAAGGGTATGTGCCTTTAATAGATTATTAGGTTTACAGTAAAATAAATTGAAATTAAAGTTGTAAAATGGAAAAAGTGGTTGTATTTACAGTTTAATATGGCCTTACTTTTCTTAAAATAAACCGAAACATGTCTAATTGTTGTCTAACATGTTTAATTCTTATTTCTACACTGAGAGTACATATACTGTAGCAAATAACCTTCCTCTCTCATTTCTAACACCTGTCAACAGGAGCATTTGCTGTTGACTTCTCAATGAAGTGCATCCTGCATTCACTCATCCAATAGCATTTGGGGTTTGTTAGAATCTAAAAGAAAGAAAGTATGTAAAGAAATCTAAAAAAAGTGAGAGGAATGGGAAAGTCTTCATTTTTAAATTAGACACCAAATGAAACATACAGTACCTTTGGGAGTTTTATTTTTGGCTGTCTGATTGTCTCCTGCTTTCCCTTCTCTTACTCTCTCTATATATATATTTTTTGTCTTCCTTTCTTTCCTTCTTCCCTTTTTCCTCATCTTCTTCCTTTCTTATCTTGTCCATTTCTGAATATACTTTTCTGCTGCTACTTCTCTCACCATCCCCTCCTCCTCTCTTCCCTCTCTCCTACAGAAAAGTCACGTGCCATATCGTGACAGCAAAATGACCCGCATTCTGCAGGACTCCCTCGGCGGGAACTGTCGCACCACCATGTTCATCTGCTGCTCTCCCTCTAGCTACAACGACACTGAGACCAAGTCAACCCTGATGTTTGGACAACGGTAGCTCTCTACCATGTTGATCAATGCATCTTTGGAAAGAAAGCATGATTTTTGTAAAAGAATATTTATTTCTACATAGAGCTGGAAATGTTGACAGATTTTAGCAGGGATCAAACTCTTTTAAACACAGGATGGTGACCTACAATATTTTGGGTTTGATCTAAAATCCACACCTTTACACTTCATTATATCACACAGTGATGGCTATAGAAGTATATGTACTTGCCAGAAGGAATAGAAAGAAGAATTTAACTAATTTTGAAGTGGGACCAAGTCAAGTCTGATGTTTGGGCAGTGGTAGACCCATCTGTGGATTCATTCGTTACTTCTTTGGAAAGAAATTAATTATACCTGAGATTTTAACTCAGAAAACAGTAAGAAAACCACAAAATAAGTTTTCTCTTAATCACTTTAAAACTTGATTCATATTTCCTCTCATGTCTCTATGGTGCCGTCACAGAGCCAAGACCATCAGGAACACCGCTTCCATCAACCTGGAGCTGACAGCGGAGCAGTGGAAGAGGAAGTACGAGAAGGAGAAGGAGAAGAACAAGACCCTGAAGGATACCATCCAGAGGCTGGAGGCTGAGCTCAGCCGTTGGAGAAATGGTGAACTGCATTAAGTGTTTCTACTGTGCTAGCACTGTAAGCAGCCTTGCATTATTCTCATGTATTTGTCCACTTTGTCCCTTCATCTCTCCCCTTCAGGAGAGGACGTGCCTGAGACGGAGCAGACTAACTCAGAAGTGGTGACCCGTTTTGAGCCCGTGGAGGAGCGCCCCATTTTGGATAATGACACCTCCTCCATTGTGGTTCGCATTTCTGAGGAGGAGCGTCAGAAGTACGAGGAGGAGATCCGCAAGCTGTACAAGCAGCTGGATGACAAGGTTGAGACAGTTCAAAGATGCAGATGTTATTTTTGTAACTACAATATTTACAATCAAAGGTATAGGGTATTTTATTGTGTCCTTCTCATATGTTATACACTGAAATGTAATTAGGGATTTATAAAGAAAGCAATCATGGAACAAGGAGATGGAGGTCTTTGAAATTTTCTTTGTCACTGCCATTCATACACACGTGCCATTGACTGAGTGTGGGTGGCAGTGAGGCTGGTATTTATATTGTGTTATAGGATGATGAAATCAACCTGCAGTGTCAGCTGGTGGAGAAACTGAAGCAGCAGATGCTAGACCAGGATGAGGTTGGTACACAAACTTACACATATGCACAAAACACGCACAGACCTGTTTAGCTCTCAGTCACTTGCCAGTCATTTCAAACTGACCATCTCTGTCTTTCTCCTTCTTTCACAAACACCATGTTGTGCTACATCCAGCTCCTGGCATCATCCCGCGGTGATGGGGACAAGGTCCAGGCTGAGCTCGGCAGGCTGCAGGTGGAGAGTGACTGCGCCAAGGCTGAGGTGAAGGAGGTGCTGCAGGCTCTGGAGGAGCTGGCCATCAACTATGACCAGAAGAGTCAGGAGGTGGAAGAGAAAGGCCTACAGAACCAGCTGCTGGCCGACCAGTTGGCCCAGAAAATGGTACGCTTTTAGAGGAATTTCATGACTGACTGAACAAGAGCTAAACACAGAGACAGAAGGTGGAACAGAAGGCCCCTAATTTACAATAACAAGCACCTTCTGTAGCACTGTGCTATTCATGAGTGGAAAATATTGCAGGACTTACATGGCAATCAAGTCACAGAGTAGAGGCATTGGTTTTTTTAAATTAGACTTAGCTCATTGCTGAGTAATCTAGGACAATTTGATGGCATTTCACCTCTGGGTGGTGTTAGAATCCTGATTATTTTAAATGGCTGTAACTCAGGGGTTGTAAGTCTGACTCTGTTGAAATCTTGCACAATTCAACTTTATACAAAGCCACAATGTTTCTGGAATTTTCCAGACATTAAGACGTCCATCACCAGGTTAGTGTTTATCCCTGTGTATTTTGATATCTGGACTGAGATGCTCATTAAACATTTCAAAACATTTTCAGGTGGAGGGCTGTGGTCATTTGTTGGGGATGTGCTTGTTGTCTGAAAAAGGTGGCGCTTCACTAATCCTTAGTGGCACTCTCTTCCCCACTTGTTTTTTGTACCAGGCCAGTCTGATGGAGCTGGAGGCAGAGCTGTCTCGTATGCAGGAAGTGAGTGGTCAGCAGAGGAAACGCATTGCTGATGTCCTGAATGGTCTGATGAGGGACCTCAGTGAGTTCAGCACCATCGTGGGCAATGGGGAGATCAAGCTGGTGAGTCTAATCACAGAATTAGGGTGCTAGAGTTTTTATTTAATTTTGTTATAAAATACATGTATAGATAGATTATCGTTGCTGTCGGGCGGAAACCTTGTATCTCCAGAAATGCTACTTTTCAGAAAATGAAAAAACCTGTATACCTAAAACAATTCAACATCACGTTGTTAAATTTGGTATTGTGTTTTTATATATGGTCACTTACCTGCATGTGTCATTATATTAACATTTCCCTCAGTCAAATGAGGTCATGAGGTTATGAGGTTTTGCTGACAGTTTCAGGATCCATTGGAGAGATTTAGTCACAAGCCCTTCCTAATGCTTTTCATTGGTTAGATGTTTGTAGAACCCACATACAGACATAAAGCATGATCAATAGCATTGATTTATGACAAAAATGAAAATGACAAAATATGGACATACCTGGTTTCTGCCCGACAGCAACGTTATACAACAGATAATAGAGTGTATGTCTTAATAGAATATAATAATTTAATAATCTTAATCCGAGGTTTGACTATCGGTCGAATTCTCCTCTCCAGTACCCTGGCATAGAGAATCAGCACCTC